AACGTAAGTAGTCAAACTTTGAGTGGCATATTAAAACAAAATTGAACATTTAGAGGAGCTGAATTTCAACCACAATGTTGCCAAATGTGCCCCATCAAATGCCGAAGCTACCTCGGGTAAAAGCACATATGACGAATTTGACTTTTTTGCAAAACTGCAAAAATGTTTAACTAATTCTAATTTTTATATGTTTTTGGTACTAGTTTTTATAATTAAGTATAAGAGGACAATAATCAGCCATAAAGTTTTTTGAATAAGTACTGAGATATGGAGCTCTAAACAAAAAGTGCAGAAGGTGCCCCAGTCTCTCCTATTTTCAAATTCTTACAAAGAAAATTTACTCAGTAAGAATTTTCTTGTACCATCAGTTGATATTAAATCCGCTGTTCTGTTATGTTTTGTAAACAAACAAGAAAATTGTTCTCAAGCAAATTGAATTTTTTGTGAATTTTATTTAAATTTTGTATTATTAAACGCAAGAATTTATAAACAACATCAATTTTCAGCTGTTTATCTCTAATGAAAATGATTTTTTTTTGTTTGCGCCAAATTGTTTGTTGTTTTAATCAGCTGTTTCGATACAATCTTTTTACTGGAGGTTGATCGTTTACTTTTTGAAATTTTCTCTCTTAAGAACGAAAAATTCGTATTTACTCTCTGCAAATCCTTAATAATTATAATAAGTATTTTTTTAATTTATTATTTCAGTTTTTATTTTATTTATTTAATTTTAGAACAGAAGCTAATGTGAACTTAAATAAAGAAAACAAATTTACTAAAAACATTCAACCTTTAAATTGAAGTTCTTTCTCTATATATTTATGTATATGCATATTATACACATATTACCTAATATAGATGTAATAAATAAAAATTAAGTTTTTTTAAACATTAATATCCTGTCGTATTTTTTTACTTGGTATTCGCATATTAATACCATAGAGGAGCTGCGGCTTCATCTTTATAAAAATGCCTTATGCATAGGAAATCAAATCAAATAAAAGGGCATATACATTAGAACTTTTTACCGGGTTAACCTACTTTGAGGATTTATTTGACATATATGCAAAGGAATTGACAATTGAAACCCACTAGGTTAACGAAATCCGGTTAAATGTAAACGTATTATAACAAAAAAACAATTGGCCAACAACAGTTTTTACTAGATTTTGTACCAAAAAATATTAGAAGTTGATAAATGTATACAAATTGCATAATATGAATTTTTGGTTGCAATATAGACGCTCTTAAAATTTTCTATCGATCAACCGAAGATGCGAAAAAGGCTCATTAGTGATGTCATATTTACAAATATGTAATATATTTTCTCAAGTTATTCATGATCGGAGGATTAAATCCGCGAAAAGAAATTTTTTTCTTGAGGATCGAATTTTTTTTCGAATATTCATGATTAGGCTGATAAACATTGGATAATTTAGGTCGATTTCAGATCACTATAAATTCACAGAGACAGCCTATATTTTAAACAATGAAAATCACACCAACTGGCACGCAACAACTTTTCTCAATTCCGATTGCTGCAGTCCAATCATGAATACCAAATCCGTAAGGATTTTTTTCCTTTTCATTTTCCTTCTATTATGAACAAAAATTCCGCAAGGAAAATCAATCCTCAACGAAAAATTTTAGTACCATGAACGTCTTCAAAATTGGGTTTTTCAAAACTGTCGGGAGGCAAAAAATATGATTTTTTCGAAGAAAGTTTGAAGAAAACAGTCTAATTCTGGATATTCGCTAGGGAGTGATCTCGCTTATGAAAAATGTTTCGCTTTCACCAAGGTATATTTAATAAGGTAGCCGCATCGGCCCAGCTGTTGGACAAATAAATGTCAAAAATGTTGTTGTAATGTTAAACCAAAAAATTAAAAAACAAAATTATGAATGAAAATCTCCGAATTTCGAAGAGCTTTTTTGGCAATACTTTTATTAACATTTTCTACAAGATTTTGTGTAAAAAAATCTTGCCAATCTGTTTGTTTTGGCAAAATATTTTTGACATATCAAAATACAACATCCGATGTTTGTTGTAGAAATTCGCCGATGCGGCTACCTTGTATATCTACCTTGGGGAGAAGCAAAAAGTAAGAGATGCAAATTCGAAAATGGTGGTTGAAAAAAATATTTGGTTTGCCATATTGTAATTTAAGTGGTAATGTGTGTTGCCACATTGTAATTTAATTTTCTCATATTTTTCAATATAATTTATTTATGATTTTTTATAAAAAAAAATAATCATTATTAATAATAAAGAAAAGTATTTTTTGTGCCTTTATTCTTTCATAATTTTTATTTCAGTTTTTCACTGTTAAGCTCATAGGGCAAATTTGGTCAGCTCTCTATAAATTTATTATCGAAACATTTCACACAAAATGTCCCTGTAATCCAGAATAATTAATTTTTCCCCAAAGCGGTTTTTTTCATGGGGAAAGTGAAAATGTGAAAAAATCGCTGCGAGCTCTGGTTCAGAATAAAGAATAAGGCTGATAAAATCAACACTTTTTACTATATTTTGTAGTAAGACTGTATTAGATTTCGAAAATATGTAAAAATTGTTTCAATTCAAGAGCTCAAACTATTGTATGAAAAAATGTATCACATACATAGGTAAATCGGCTTTCATATTTTAAAATAATTTTATATTTTTTGTTCAGTTTTTTATTTTATATTCACTTTTATCCTGATCGTCATCCTATCCTCAAAGCTGATATCAGGAACTTAAGTGAAAAGCGGCGATTCACAGACTACTTGGAGAGCATACATGTGAATTCAAAAACTGCTGGATTTTCTTTCAGGCAACCCATCAAAGGCAAACAAGATGACTATGGAGTAATCATCGTAGACAATGCCAAAAAGGCCGAGATTTTAGCGGATCACATACAGGACATCCGCCAAACCGATGCTACAGTGGGCCATTCATTACGCAGTCTGATGCATCATTTGTCGAATTTAGCAGCGAATTCACAGCAGATGCAGCCATAATCAACGAAAGACCCATGTGGGAAACAAGGGGACTCAGACATGGTCGGGTCGGCTATAGCACAACGGGCACCAAAGAAGTCGTATGGCATGGACAAGCTTCCGGATATTGCTATGACAAAAGCAGGAGAAGCCATAATCATTTTCCTCACAATTCTACTCAACTACTGTCTTAAGATTGGATATTTTCCAAAAGCCTGGAAGGAAGCTCTAGTGGTACCAATCCCAAAACCAGAATCAGATGCCACCCTACGCGGAAGTTATATACCAATTTCCCTTCTATCGCCCTTTGGGAAATTGCTGGAACACTTCATATTGCGACGAATAAACCGAGTCATCGAGGAAAAGAGAATTCTAAGGGATTGTCAGTTTGGATTTCGTGCAAGGCAATCGACAACTCATGCAATGACAGCCTTTTCAACATACGTCACCGAGGGTTTCAAACGAAAAGAAAGAACCATAGCCATTGGCTTAGACTTCGCCAAAGCATTCGACACTGTATGACAGCATGGCATTCTTTACAAAATGCGATCGTCCGGAATCGACCAACAAATTTGCCGTTAGCAAATCCACCCGAAGGAGGATTTTGCTAACATACGCTGACGATGTATTCTTAGCGCTGTGAGGACGCTTTTACGCACTGTGGAAAGAAGGCTGAATGTGTATATGGAAACACTTCACAACTATTTCAACAAATGGGGAATTAAACTCAATGTCGGTGGTTTTCAAGGGCAAACCCAAATCGACTGTGAAGAGCTTCCGGAAATGCATTCCAACTATAAAGGTTGGAAATTAATTCATCGGAGTGTCAGACAGGATGAAATACCTTGGAATCATCCTGCACGAAATAAATTAAATATTAAGTTTAGATTTTAAGTTAGTTTTAGGTTAACATTAGTTTGGCCTTTTTTTAATTTTTTAAGGCATGAACATGTAAATGGAATGCGTAACTGCACCAATTTTGTAAAAGATATGTCTAGCGTACTATACGCAGACATCAGATTTAATTTCATTAGCGTAGTCTCTTTCATTGTAAGCCATGTGGCATAGGAGAATGTATATTTGTAGTTTTATTATAATACTGTAGCCATTAAGTATGCTGTATTATTTGACGTAATTCCCTAAATAAATGGCAATATTAAAATGAAATGCCAGCGACACGTCGATTTCATTCCTATTTGTCAAATAAGCAATTTCATTTGTGCATTTTTTAATATTTTCTTCCGGTGAAAATTCTTTTTTAAGTTCACTGTGTTCATCCTCTTTGCTTTCATTTCTTAGCATTGCAATCCTCGGATTTTCCATGGACATTATCCAAAAACTTATTCTAAATCCAAATTTAGCTTGTGTTAACTGTACGAGTGGTAAATGTTAGTCCTCCTTCAAATTCATTAAATCCAAATAAATAACTATGACCGCTTTCTTTTAAAATTTGTAATTTAAAATGTATTTTTTTTCATTTATTAAAAACAATTGTTGTTGTTGTTCTCTTATACACTGTAGTCAAATTGTGTACTTGTTTTTTTCATACATTTGTTTTTGTTGTTGTTGTATTTTAAATTACAAACTATGTCCTTAAACTATGAACTTAATAGAAATTGGTATGTCGATTGTATTTTCTTTATGTTTCATACATAAAAACAAACATACACATGATACGATATGACATGAAATCGTATTTGAATCAAAAGCAACAAAAAAGTAATTAAATCGTCTAGTAATTTGCCATTCTCTATAATTTTTAAAGAAAGTACAAAAAATTAAGTTGATATCCAATATTTTGTTTAAAATTAAAATAACACAAATGCAATTGTGTGCGCAGAAGGGATTTAAACTTATTTAGGTTTCTCATTGAGAAAATTCAAAAGTTATTTTTTTCTCTAAAGAAATGGTTGGTGGGAATTATAAGAAAAATTAACTTAATTATTGTATAGGAAAGAAAATAGTGTTTGTTTTTTGGTTAGAGAATGGTTGGAAAACAAAAACTGTCTATATGTATACAATTAATTGTATCGACGTCCTCCTCCGCCACCACCACCTCCTCCTCTCGTCCAATTATTGCCGCCACTATTCTTGTTGTATAGATTATTTTGTGGGAAATTATTATTGTTGTTATTGTTTGGTCGGCGATTCGGTTGCTGTTGATAGTTTCTGTTTTGATACGACGATGAAGCGTAGCCTCCTCCTTGCTGTTGTTGCTGATTCGGTTGGAATCGTCCTTGTTGTTGATGTGGCTGCTGCTGCTGTTGGTGACGTCCACCCTGGCCATACGGATGAAAGCGTTGTACACCGCCAGCGCCACCACCACGTCCAGCTCCACCATATACAGGACCTTTAACGACACAGAAACAGATGATTAGACAATTAATTAGGAAATATATATGGATGCTATACATAAATTCCATTTTAAAAGAATCTAATTTTTAACCTTTAAAAATAAAATAAAATACTCACCACCTCGTCCTCCACCTCCTCCGCCGCCGCCTCCTCCTCCTCTTCCATAACTAGAATTTCTATTATTATTGTAATTATTATTCATATTGTTGTAATTAAAACCTTGGGTATTATACTGATTCTGATAGTTGCCTTGACCCATGGCATTATTCAGATGACGATGACCAGCTTGACTAACATAAGCCTGTGGCATATCATGATTAAAACCAATACGTGGTTTATAATTTGAATCGCGTCCTTCTGGTGCCAAAACTGTGGGAGGATCTATGGCATTCTGTAGACGTTTTGCTGGGAATATGAAATCTTCATCGTATTGGGGATCTCTGAAGCGCACGGTAACCACTTGATTTTCTGTAATATCATGTAGACCCATTATCGGCGAGGGTAATGTACCATTTATCGGTACATTGTCATCGGCTTCCAAGACCGTACCGAACATACCATCCATGAGTACTTCAATTTCTGGGGTTGTGGCAAATTTATTCTTCGCATAGTAGTTCACGAATGTCTTAAAGAATGAATTGCCCTGACTGATGTACAGGCGGCAATCGCCTCTCTTGTTTCGTTTAATTTCCTCTTCCGTCAGCATGCCATAGTAGGGTTTCAGGGCCTTGAATAGACGATTTTCGTCGACAAATGGCAGCAGAGCAACACCCTGCCACGCATATTTTTTGCCATTCAAATCGATTTTGAAATCTTCCGGATAGAAATCAATAATATCCGATTGGGGATCATGCATGAGGGTGGCCCAAGGTTTCGGTACATGACTGCTACTGGCGGCTGGAAACACTCCCATAAGCTGTTCAAGGGGGTTGAATGGTTTCGAGCCCTTGGCAAAGTGCGTCGACAAGCCCGAAATGTTTACAAAATCCGAGGCAAATGGTGCATAATGATATGGGAAGTACCAATCCCACGAGGCACATCCTTGATAGTAATATTTGAGTACCCAGCAAAGGCCACGTACATATTGCAATGCCACGGAGTAGCGGAAGTCAAGGTTTTCTTGGCCCACATCAAATTTAGATTCATAATAGCGGTCCTTAAAGCCATTCTCCCACAAACGGACCTCATCGTTGACATATTCGTCCTCTTCGTCTTCATCCAAACCAGCCTGGGCAGCAGTTCGTTTCTGTCCAGCGCCACCCGCTGCATTTCGCAAATTGGCAGCATTCTGTTTGTAGTTATCAATGATGGGCAGTGGATTTGCATTGCCCTTGCCCAGGGCATTCAACTTGAACGAACCGGATTGTTCCATTACGGCAGCATTGTAGGCATTGGCCTCATTACGACGTTTGATCTTTTCGCGTTGCTTGAATTGCACTTCACGTCGTTGGCGTTCCTTGAAGATGTGATCCTCGACGTTGCCCAGATCCGTTAGAATCAATTGCACTCTATCCAAATCTACTTCACCGGAATTGGTCAAATAGCCATTGGTGCGATAAACGCACTTCTTATACAGTTCCACCAAACGATCGACGGCACCTTCTCGAATCTCCAACGATGGTAAATGCGGCAAGAAATCGTTACCCACAAAGAAGCACATGAATACCCAATCGTCCAGGGCCCGTTCGAATTCATATTTGAACGGTAGGTTGGGCATTTCCAAAGTCTTCTTCAGATATTCCCGGAGAACACTTAGGCGTACAAAAATAAATCTGACTTCGGAACCAATTGGTACGTCTGGCTTGAAATTCGTAACATCATTAACACCGGCAGCATTAAGACCCTGGCATTTATCCATTTCATGACCAAACTGACCACACATGTCGCAGGGTTTAGGTTTGTTGGGTAAAAACTCCTCCCTGATGATGGTAAAATTGGGTTCATGGGTAGCCAAACCCAACATAATCAAATCGGCATCAGCACCACACAGTACATGTTGCGTATTCGGATCGTGATCAGGCTGGGCTCTTTGTTTCCTTATATAATCCATAATCTTGTGTTCACCCTCTCCGGGGACATTTGCATCCGACAAAATAACCTTAATATCTTTCCAGGCGGGATTGTTATTCAAACGATCGTGCACATAGTAGTGCAGGCACTGTGACAGTCTTTCCATAAATGGCGTTCCCGGGGTAATACAATTGGAATCGAAATGTTCGCCCTTCTCCTTCTCTGGCGGCAAAACACATCCCTTGGCCAACAATTCACTGCGTATCCTCTCCATTTCCAAACGCTTTTCAACCGATTCCTTGGCAGCTCGGAAACGTCTTGAACGTTGTTGATTCATTTTGGCCCTGGGTGCCACGCCATCAATGGCCATATACAGCACCTTGCGTGGCCTTACAATATTCATCAAACGATCAATACAATCGAATATGGCGACCATCATCTCGTCTTCATTTTTGGGTGCAGGTTTATCTTCCGGATGTGTACACGGATGAATGATGCCATTCATGTCCAAGTACAAATTGTCGAATTCGATGCCATTCGGATTCGGCTGTGTAGCATCGGGATAAATATTCTTGCCCGATTCTGGGTCAACTTCTTTATTTTCCACGCATTCTATAATGACGCTGGGATATTTACGGCTGAGCCATCTGAAGAATGCTGGTACTCCCATAGCGTGCGCGGAGTCTTAAATTAATTTGCAATTGGAATTGCAAATGGTAGGACGAGACAGTTTTTAAAAAAACTGTATTTCTTTTTTACCTCTAAAAACGTGTTCTCTTCCACTATATTTAACGACGACTGAAAAAATTGAAAAACGTTCCACCTGCTAACGAATGGGAGGAGAAGACAAAATTGACGATAAAGATGAACTCAAAATGGTATAACCGAAAGTTTACGAATGAGGTGGGATGGAGACTAATGCCATGTACAGACGAAGTGTGGTTTTAAAATTGTCTGAGCGAACACCGACTTTTGTACGTTGTTCAATTCGAATCACTCTCTGAATCACCAAGAATTTTGTTCTCTCTCTTGAGAGAGAAAATAAATTAAGTTGACAGCTATTTTTAATTTTGTAACTAGTTTTTATATATGCGTACTTTTTGTTCACAAAAGGTACGAATTGACATAAACGTACCAAAACAAAAATTAGATTTTTTATTATTCGTGAATACATTTACGCTTAAATTATAACATATATTATTTATGCAAATAACTGGTATAAATATTGGCCAATATTTCTCGTAGAATTTTAGGTACCTTTTCGCACTTTTTTGTTCCTACCTGTGGTAATGTTTTCCAACACAATTCACAATTTACCACTGAGAGAGAGAGAAAATCTCAACACCGATCCCGATCCCGGCAAATATAAAACCACGCTAAATGGAAACCGTGTTGTTTCGACTAATCGATTAATCGACTTTTTGCTTGAAGGTCGCTAACTTTCGATAACAAATTTTTATGGAAATAACAAGGTGACACAGAGCATTACAATTTCACATTTAGTACCTTTTATCCACAGTGCTTTCAAACAGAGATAACCCAGAATATTATAGTTTTTCAAAATTATTAACGAAAATATTTACAAAATATATTAGTAATGGAAAATAATAAACAATAAAGTAATGTTTAAATATATTTTTGATAATCTAAAACTAAACTATTACCAAATCTCATACATTATAATCCACTGAATCAGGAGAGAAGACTACCTCCGGAGGCCTCCGTATACAAACCTCGAACAAAGTAAGGGTACCAAATGAAAGAGAGAATCTCTAAGAGTATTTTGATATTCACCATTTTTTGTAGAACAAAGTTGCTGACTTTCTGATTTCCAACTGGTGGTCGGGACACCAAATTTGCTCTGGAAGCCTCCCTATAAAACCTCGAACAAAGTAATGGTACCAAATGAAAGAGGGAGTCTTTACGAGTATTTGGTTATCCGCAATTTTTTTCAAATTCAGCTTTTTGTAGAACAATAGCAATATCACCACACATATAATCGGCAAACATATAACCCCAAAGTGTTACCTACGATCGGTTACAATATTTAGCTGTATCGATTTCCTCATGATACTGAAAGAGAAAATATTTCAGAATAGATTCAATGATAAGCGAAATTTCCAATGCCAACACTTACCTGACATCCAATGCCAAACTAATATTCAAAAACGTCCCGATCAAAGAAGGCATCTGTTATGTAAAAAGTTTTTGGTTTCTCCAATTCTCCAGCCTCAAAGGTGGCTTCATTCATAACAAATAACAAATTTTGTATGGAATAGACATTCAACTGCACATTATTTGCCTCAATATCATTTTGTAGGAACCCCAAAACGGACTCAACAATATGTATGCTATCACGATGTGTATATAACGGTGAATAATTTCCATTTTTATTGTCGCGTACAAAATTCAAAATCTCATTATAAATTTTTCCCAATTGGGTTTCACCCAAAGCATTTGGAGGCAATGGTAATTTATGGGTGGTCTCCGATAAATGTTGAGCCTCATATTGATGACCGTAAATGTTAACACCCGGATTAATAAGGGTCTGATGGACCTGGTGTACGCCTCCTTTAAGAAAAAACTTAGCCACCGCTATCTCAGTTGGTATATATGTCATATTTTAGGGTTTTTGTGAAATAATTAGCCATTATAAAGTAACAGGTTTGGGTCTCCAATTGCCCAGCTTTAAAACTTTATTTATATATTTATTTGGCCTGTTTACAAATTAAAATTGCATGGTTGTTATGTAATGGTCTTAGTACGGGAATCTCCTAGTTTTTAAGGGCTAAGAAGAATGTGTTCGCTTAAGAACTAGGAGATTCTTGTAGTACGGGAACAGACCATTAAATAACCTCCATGCAATTTAATTTGTAAACAGGCCACTTAAATATTTATCATTACGGCGGCAAATAAATAAGTCGACATTGTGTTTTTCCTTTAAAAATTCTGGGTTCACACTACGGGATATGCAAATAACAGTTATTTCAAGAAAGTGAAGGAGCTTCTCTGCTTCTCTTCCTTCCCCGTTCAATATAAAGTTTATAACTAATTTTCTTTAAAAATTAATAATTACTTTGTTGCTTTATAAAAATTTCGATTTAGAATGGCTCCCAAAAAACAAAAACCCTCCGGTTTTATGTTTTTCACTGTAGAATGGAGAAATAAATATGGTAAAGGCCTAACCATTGCCGAAGCCACCGAAGAAGCTGGAAAAATTTGGAAAACAATGGATGCAGGACAGCGTGCTCCCTATAATGAAAAGGCTAAATGTGAGACATCGTTTATGGGAAGTGGAGGTGGTGGTGGAGCTGGAAAAATGACGTGTACCGGTGTACCGATTTCCCTGGTGGAAAAAGAGCGTTTGGATCAAGAGAATAAGGAACGTCAAATGAAACGTGAAATTGAGGCAACAGTACGAAAAGGTTCAAAAGCTGGGCAATTGGAGACGCAAACCTATTACTTTATAATGGCTAACTATTTCACAAAAACCCTAAAGGATGGCATATATGTACCAGCTGAGATAGCGGTGGCTAAGTTTTCCCTAAAAGGAGGTGTACAACAAGTCTATCAGACCCTTATTAATCCGGGTGTTAATATTTACGGTCATCAATATGAGGCTCAACATTTATCGGATACCACCCATAAATTACCATTACCCCCAAATGCTTTGGGTGAAACCCAATTGGGAAAAATTTATAATGAGATTTTGAATTTTGTGCGCGACAATAAAGATGGAAATTATCAACCGTTATATACACATCGCGATTGCATACATATTGTTGAGTCCGTTTTGGGATTCCTACAAAATGATACTGAAGCAAATAATGTGCAGTTGAATGTCTATTCCATACAACATTTGTTATTTGTTATGAAAGAAGCCACCTGTGAGGCTGGAGAATTGGAGAAACCAAAAACTTTTTACATAACAGATGCCTTCTTTGATCGGGACTTTTTTGAATATCAGTGTGGCATTGGATGTCAGGTAAGTGTTGACATTGAAAATTCCCCTTATCATAGGATCTATTCTATTGCATTGAAATATTTTCTCTTTCAGTATCATGAGGAAATCGATACATCTAAATATTGTACCCAATCGTATGTAACACGTTGGGGTTATATGTTTGCCGATTATATGTGTGGTGATATTGCTATACCACTAATGCCAGGACTTCATTGTCCACCCAATACAAATTTGAATGAACTTGTTACACCAGCACCCAGTTTTTATTCCGATACCGAGTCATTTATTTCAATTGGTACAACAGCAACAAATTTCACCAAACCTGTGGCTGGTTCTAAATTATACTATGATGATGATGAACAGAAAACTATAGTATCCGAAGCAAGTAAAACATATACTGTTAACTTCCCAAACTTGGGGGGTGGTGGTGGAGCTATTAGAAAAAATACGGCACCATCAAGGCAAACAAATGTTACACGCACTATTAAAAGCAGCTTTGAAGATGCCGAATATGAAGATTGTGCTGATCTGAATCCTTGGACATCACGATCCCGTAATATTCCTCGACAGCCAGCCAAATCTCATTTTGATATTAACTATACAAATGATGGTTTGACCTCAGATACGGATGACTACAGTTCAGTGGCAAGTTTTGGACGTGGTCGTTTGATCGCTGATACTTCATTCAATACAATAAGTGGTAGCAGTTATGGCCGTGGACGCTTCCTAAAGCCTTAAGACTAGTGAATTTTTGTTCTCAATAGTTATCAGAAATGAATTGTTTTGGTTTTGTTTTAAATAGTCAGTTTGATTTAAAAATCCTCGAAAATTTTACTTTATTTTACAACATATTAATTTTAAGAGTTTGGTTTGTCTTTGTATTCAGAATGTACAATTTTTTTTTTAATCTTACTTTTATTAAATATAATACATAGTTTTGTATTTTTTTAATATGAATTGTGCTGTATAATTTTTATTTTGACAGATCATAAAAAATAAATAGTTCCTTCAAATAGTAGTATACCTAGCCTATATTTACCATTTCAACGACAGACGGATCTAGTTACCATTTCAACTACAGACGGACATTTTAAATAGTAGAATGTTCCAAGCAAAATCCTCCACTTTCACCACCATTAAAATTCCTCGTACCAAGACTATCTAAATAACTATCTGAATTGCGTCAACTATATGTACAGATGATGTTTTTCGCTTTCAAACAGCTTAGAATGCCAAATTTCCACTCCTTTTAGTTGGAACATGTGGTTAAACTAAAAAATATGATAGTACGATTTGTAAGAATATAACAAAACGTGAAACGATATATTCAATTTCCAATACCAATATGCCTCTACCCCTAGAATGATAAATTTATGGTACTAGATTTTAATATTTTTTTTGAGTTTTTTGTTTTGAGTCACTTGACCGCGCATTTTTTGAGTATTTCGTCGTCTATATCTTCATTAAATTTTTAAAGACGTTTTTTAGGGAAAATGTCCTATTTTTCTTTAATGTTTTTATCGGAGGATATAGTTTTTGCTTAAAACTAACTATATTTAGGGACATTCCAAATTAAAAGGTTCAAACATTTAAGTAAATCAGTATTTAAAATTGAGTAGCGCATTCAGCAGACTCAATTCAGAAAGGACTGGTGAGAGCATTTCGTCGTCTATACATTCATTAGTCTATGCGTGGTTTTATATTTGTCGGGATCGGGATCGGTGTTGAGAGTTTCTCTCTCTTGAGAGAGTAATTAAAGTTGCGCTATTTTTAATTTTGTAACAAGCGTACTTTTTGTTCACAAAAGGTACGAATTTACATAAACGTACCAAAACAAAAATTAGATTTTTTATTATTCGTGAATACATTTACGCTTAAAATATAACATATATTATTTATGCAAATAACTGGTATGAATATTGGTCAATATTTCTCGATAATTATGATTTATTATCATTTCAAGTAGAATTTTAGGTACCTTTTCGTACTTTATTGTTCCTACCTGTGGTAATGTTTTCCAACACAATTCACAATTTACCACTGAGAGAGAGAGAAACTCTCAACACCGACCCGATCCCGACAAATATAAAACCACGCTAAAGAGGGTCGATTGGTAAACATATTTTCTCTTTCTTTCTCTTTCCGTTAGTCGTTTTTAATGGTGAATTCTCAGTTACGCTCGCACACACTTGCTCTCAATTTAATTTTGCCCAACACTGGTCTATGTGTTTCTGGGAGACATTTCACGAAAACTATCAAAACAATAGATTTTATTTGCACATGTGTGGCAAGTGCACTAGCAAATGTGAAGATGCCAGATTTAAAAAACTACATTGGGTAATTACATGGGTCAGATTTTAAGGTAAAGTTAGTTTGGGGTAGGTTATTTAGGGACAAATAAATGAAATTGGTAATTAAAACGGGGTAATTAAACGTGCAATTTTGTAAGGGTTTGTAACCGTGGAGGTAATAAAGCGGGGAATACTGTAGCACCCACATAAAAATCCTCCCCTTTTTAGGGTTTTCAATGCTCTTAACCGCATTTACAACCGAATTGCCTGTAATTTTAAATTTCGATTTTTTTAGTAGGTAAACTAATTCATTACAGGAAATATTCGATACAGGTCCGTTCTTTGATATATGCCCTGTTCCCGTACTGCAAGAATCTACTAGATTTTACTATTTTCTTCGATAACATAAAGGAAATTTCGTTATCGTAATAAAAAGTAGTAGATTCTTGCAGTACGGGAACAGACCAATAGCTACCATATAAAGTTCCCGGCCCAGTTTAGTGTTTATAGCATGGCATTTTGGGATCTAGTCCTATAGCAAGGTATTTTGGGATCTAGTGGCTAAAAAACGTATTATTGTTCTGAAAAGGGAACTAATATTTCTTTTAAACATTTTGGTCTGTTCCCGTACTGCATAACCTTCTAATTTTTACAATTTTTTCAAAATCATAAAGGACAAATTGTTATCGTAGTTAAAATTAGTAGAATTTTGCAGGTTCTGGAACAGACATTTTATTTATTATCTTGAAGTCTCCAGCCTCTATAATCTATAAATATAATTTGTAACATCTATAGTTATATATTGAGAGCAATATTGAAAAAAGGAGATATTTATTTATAGAAAGTAAAAATTTTTATTTTATTTTTTTTAATATGCCTTTATGGAATTTATTTTTCAGATGATTTCTAAATTAAAAAGGGTTGCCATTATTAATTTCTCAATTGAGACTACCTTCTGTAATTATGCCATGAATTATACAAGGTAGATCATTTTTTGTCAACAAAGAAAAAATAAACTTCTACGCTGCCAGAATAAATAAAAACAAATGCAACAAAAACAAATGACATATTTTTTTATAATTTTATTAAAAACGTGAACAATTAATGTCAGACTGTCAGGGGTTCTTTTCAAAATAGAGTTGGGAATTTGATTTAGGTATAGATTCATCTATAAATCATAAACATCTTTTACACATGTTGTAAAATTCATCTTTAAACAAATGGATTTTAGAATATATTGTTACGAATATAACATTAGATTTAAGTTAATTTAGATGAATTCCGTTAATTTAAGAATTTGAATTGTAACGTAAATTTCTACTACGCAATTTATTCGAATAACTTCACAACAACAACTACTGTATAGATTTTTCTACATCCTTCCATTTCCTCTTTCATTTTCTATTTTGTTATTGTCGTACAATTCTTGTTAAACGTCATCATTGATGATCGCTTAATTCCTCTTTCTTTGTTACCCCCTCGCCTGTATATGTGTTGTTGTTATTGTTCGCTCAATGTGTTGTTGTTATTGTTTACTCAATGTAAGTTTGTATGTGTGTTCGTTGCATTGGTAGATTGTTCGTGATCTAGGTGTTACCAGATCGTCTAGAAACTTCTGTAGCGACAAGCAAGGCTCATATAAATAGGGGAAATGGAAAGGCAGTGAGTCAGTTGTGAATAAGATCGCGAATTGAAACCGTCGTGTAAAGTAAAGTGCAAAGTAAAGTTGTGTGAATAAAATCATTGTAATAATCGTAATCTGAAAGAACCCGCGTTTTATTTGGTACGAATTGTATCGGGAAATAAAACAACGTCTACACGGGATTTAGTAAAACCCAAGAACGTAACAATTGGTGTCGGAAGTGAGATTACGATAATACTACGATGAAGTTTAAGGATCTACGAGTGGAAGACTTGAAGAAGGAGCTGAATAAATTGGAATTGTCCTCTACTGGCAACAAGGCTGAACTACAAAAACGTCTGTTGGATGAGTTCGAGCGCCGTGGTATGAACATCGATTCATATGAGTTTGACAGTAAGGATGAAGTGGATTTATCGGAAATGGGCGAATCCAACGGTGGGGAAGTCCAGTCAGTAGCTGCCAAGGGTGACGATTTGAGAGAAATGCTGGCTAAAATGTTTGAGGAAAATTTCAGAAGGTTCGGAGAGAATTCCAGAAAGTTAGATGAACTCAAGGCAGAGAATTGTAGAATGTTTGACGAAAATTCGAGAATAATGAACGAGAAACTCGAGAACATTACAGAAGTTATTGGAAGGAGAGTGGAAACCGTGGAGGTCCAAATTAAAGAGGATAAGAAAGTGCAGTCGGTTGACGAGAAATTTCTGGCTCACGACCACAGGGTTACGAATCTGGAGAAGAAAATTTCGGAAATGGAAATTAAAGGTGGTCCGGTGCGAGCTCCCGATAACACACTAAAAATCAAACCTCCTGTATTCGACGGCTCTACGTCATTCAATGTTTTCAAGTTACAGTTCGAGACAGTGGCTTCTAGAAATTCGTGGAACGACAGCGACAAAGCGGTTGCACTACTTCTGGCATTGAAGGGTAGTGCTGCTGATGTTATACAGAGTATTCCTGTCGCTTCTAGAAGCAACTATGAAGATGTTATTGCTGCACTGGAACGTAAGTACGGTGGCGAACATAAACAAAACATCTACCTTATGGAACTAAGGGGAAAAGTACAGAGGGCAAACGAGACGTTACAAGACTTTGCAGCTGAGGTGGAACGTTTGGTGCTAATGGCGTATCCAGGAGAGAATCACCCATTGCTGGACCGTATGAAAATCGAAACCTTTGTGAATGGCATACGTGACCCTGAGATTAAATGTGCAACATATGCGTCACCAAAAGCGCCATTTGCCGAAACCGTGTCGTTTGCCCTTGCCCAAGAGACGGCAAGAATGATTGTTAAGCCCCAGACCCACAAGATTAGCCAACTGGAGACCGAATGTTGCGAACACAAATATCTCGTTAACTTGATCAAGGACGCCATGAGGCGGGTAATAGAAGAAACAAAGTTAGTAGGGATGACTAAGCCCAGGGTTAGATGCTACAACTGCGATAAAGCAGGTCATATTGCGCGCGAATGCAGAGCTAAGCGCAACCGATCCAGGTCATCGTCACCACCTCCAACGAAAGATGGTAGAAGAATGGCTCAACAGTCCACCAATGAGTCACCGTTAAACAGAATCGAGCACAGAGAAGGCGGAAAACACGGTAATGCTGGTGCCCTGTCTCGTCGGCCATGCAAGGTAGAATACAGGCACTGCTCAAAGGCCGAGTGCAAAGAGAATATCGTTAAACAGAATCGAGCACAGAGAAGGCGGAAAACACGGTAATGCTGGTGCCCTGTCTCGTCGGCCATGCAAGGTAGAATACAGGCACTGCTCAAAGGCCGAGTGCAAAGAGAATATCGTTGATGTCCG